ATGGTTCTTGGAAACACCTAGTCCATCTTGTGCAGTATATGGCAAGAACTGAAGGATATCATCTTGTGTACAGGAAAACACCAAGAGGTCTTAGCAACCTCCATGAATCCATTAGGAACGGCAGTTACGACTTTACAGGAACACAGCCCAGGGAGTATCATCTTTTGGAAGTCTACAGTGACTCAGATTGGGCAGGAAAGAAGGACACAAGACGCTCAACATCTTCAGGAATTGTTTGCTTAGATGGCCAGTGTATCTACTCCTTTTCAATCAACCAAAAGTCAGTCAGCTTGAGCAGTGGTGAAGCAGAGTACTACGCAGGAGCTAGCGCGGCATCGGATTCTATATTGTTAAAGGAAGCAGTAGAATTCTTGACAAGGAAAAACTGCAAGGTACACTTGTACATGGACTCTTCAGCAGCTAGAGGCATTATTACAAGGCAAGGTGTAGGAAGAGTGAAGCACCTCCAAATCAGGACCCTTTTTCTACAGGACCTCCACAAGCAAGGAACAATCAGCGTGCACCCTGTAGGAACCAAGGAAAACACAGCCGATATAGGAACCAAACCCCTTTCAGCGAAGCGCATTAGATTGCTGTTGCATTGGTTAGGTTTTCAAACTGGAGAGAACGAACCAGTAGGCCGAGAAGAGCTCAAGGAACACAAGGCCCAAACACAAGCCAAAGCAGTCGTAAGGATGATCAAGAGCCCAGGAACTTTGTCGTTTGCAGCTTTGTTGTTTACAGGTATTTCAGGAATTTCAGACAGTCTTCAGATTCAGAGTTGCAAGGAACAGAGTTTTGAGAGCTGTTTTCTTCAGGAAGAGTTTCAGCCAGAGTTTCAGGAATATGTTTTCTGTTTTGCAAGTGCATGTGCACAGGACGGCATATGCAGTGACACGAGTGCATGTGAGCTAGGAACGTCTGCAGGAACAGCGCATGAAACCTCATGTTTTGAGATGCTTTCACAGCTCAAGGAATTCTGCGGAACACTCGCGGAACGCTCAGGCGTACAAGGAATAGTCAAGCCTGTAGCAGAAGGTCAAGGAACCTCAGCCATGGAAGCCAGCGCCAGTTCTGCAAGAAGCAGCAGTGAAGTTCTCAAGGAACTGGAAGCACTAAAGGAAGCCGCCACAGAACTCAGGAAAGCCAGCGCAGAAAGGAACGAGATCGCAGAGTCGATCAGGAAGAACACAGAAGAGTCGGCGCGATTGCGTCGATCCCAGGAACATGTGGCTGGTTGCGTGAAGTCCTTGACAGGACAAATCCAGGACGTCAAGTTTCAGGTCCAGGAGATGGCCGAGCAGAACGAAAGAGACCGCACAGAGGCCAAGGAACGCATGGCCTACGTCTTTGAGACGTGCGACGGCTTGAAGGACCAGGTACAGACGCTTGTGAACGACTTTTACGAGCAGAAAGAAGAAGACGAAGAAGAACAAAGGAAAAGAAAAGCCAAGGACAGAGAAGCAGAAGGAGAACTACGTCGTGAAGGACATGGACCAGGTACAGCACCGTCGAGAGCTACGTCACCTACCTCCCAGGAGCGAAGATGAGGAGAAGACGACATAAGGAACTGGTCAGACAAAGGTTACTTTGAAGGAATCCAGGAACGCGACGAGGACTACGACTACTTCGGCGAGAACGAGAACGAGGCCTACGTGGACAGCTACGTTGGAGGAGATCCCGGGGAGTACCCCGAAGAAGCAAAGGAAACAGAGGCACCAGGAGGAGCAGCAGCAGAAGAAGAGGACGAAGAAGCAAAGGAAGAAAGAAGGAGACAAAAGATCAAGGAGATCAACGCCAGGAGCAAAGAAAGACTTGAGGAGAAAGAGAAGGAAAAGAAGCTCTTTCCGTACCCCTACGACTACAGCAGCGAGTGGAAGGAATACTCCGAGAACGGCAACATCTACAGAGAGCACAGAGTCACAGGAGAAAAGCAGTACGTGGACAAGGACTACACGTACAAGCACGAGAAAGGAACAAAAGGAAAGGAGAAAGGCGCAAAAGCAGGCAAAGGAAGAGGAAAGCCAAAGCAGCGAGCAGAAAGCACAGGATTTCGACCTCGAGATGAAGATGATCGCAAGTACTGGGAAGAACAGGACAGGATCTCAAAGGAACAGCAAGAGGCAAAAGCGGCAGCAGAAGAGAGGAAGAAGGCAACAGAGGAGCAGATTGCCAAAGCAAGGCTGATCATGGAAGCGGCAGCAGAAGAGCAGGAGAGAAGAGACAAGGAAGCAGCAAGGCAGGAAGCAGCCGCAGCCGCCGAGAGAAGGCGAGAAGTGGAAGCAGCAGCCAAGGCCAAAGCAGAAAGAGAGGAAAGAGAAAAGGAGGAGACAGCCGCAGCAGCAGCCAAAGCAGAGAAGGGGAAAGAAGAGGAAGCAGCCGCAGCAGCCAGAGAGGAGAAGGAAAGAAAGGAACAGGAAAAGAAGAGAAAGGAGAAGGAAGCCAGGAAGAAAAGAGAGGAAGACAAGAAGGAAGCATCGGCATACATTGCCCGAAAGGAAGCAGAAAAGAAGGCAGCAGCAGCAGGAACAACGTCAGGATCAGGAGAAGTGGAACCGAGACGTGAAGAAGACAGGATGAAGAAGCTGGAACAGATGATGGAGGAGATGATGAAGGAACGTAAGGAGGATAAGGAAAGGATTGCAAGCCTCACACAGGAGCTTGAGAGCAGAGGATCAGCAGCCGGGTCGCAGGCACCCACAGAGCCAGACACAACACCAACAAAGGAACAGGAGAAGCCAGAGGGAAAAGGAAAAGGAAAGGAAGAAGGACAGGAGCCACCAAGCGTAACAAAGCACAAGCCAGGAAAGCAGGAACAGGAAGACCAGGAACTTTCCGCCAAAGGACCAGTGAACGAGGCGTCTTACTTGAAAGGAAAAGGAAAAGGAGAGTTTGAAGGAAACTGGTTTGCAGTCTACGGTTCCAAGGAAGGAACTACCAGTGGAAGTGGAACGAAGCAAAAGGACAATGGTACTGGTATTCAGGATCAAAGGAAACAGGTTGGAAAGCAGGATCAAAGGACAAGCAAGGAAAAGAGAAGTGCAAGGCACAGGCAAAGCAGCGTGAGGAGTGGCTCAAGGAACAGCTGAAGGAGCAGAAGGAAGTCACCCAGGACAGCGAAGAAGAAGAAGGAAGCAAAGAAGTGAACTTCCAGTGAAGCAAAGGAAAGACGAGCAGTACTGAGGCCAGAGAGCCGAGGAAAGAGCAGTGAAGCAGGACACACAGGAACCGTGGCACAGCCCTTTTTGTTTCTGTGGTGATCTAAGTAAGTTCAGGAACAGTCTTGTACAGTCAAGCAACCTTGGAGAGGATTGCGAGTGAACGGAAACGTTTGCGAAGAGGAACAGCGTTTGTTTTGTAGTGAAAAGGAACTGCAGCGTGTTTACTGTTTGTTCAGGAAAAGTCGGAGTCACCTCAGTCGAGGAACTTTCGCTAACTCCGAAGGCGGGTTGTTAAACATCTTGCCAGGAACAGTAACACCGCCAGTGCAGTGTAGTTAATGTAAAGGAACAGCCGTCACGCACACGCGACGTGCAGGCTCGAGACTACCAGGACACACTCCGCAGTCCAGGAAAAGTGTCCGCCTTTGTGAGTGAGTAGGAAAGCTTAGTGAAGCCCGTTCTTTAACAGTAAGGCAAAAATCTTGTGTAAAGGAAAAGTGAATGCTCAGAAAGCCACTAGTGCAGGTTTTCCGCCATGCCAACAAACTCACGTACTGAGAGTGCTCGGCGTTGATGTCTCAAAGTGTGCTCATCACCAGTTGGCGACTCTCGCCTCAGAATGGCCACGACGAGAGCTGCACGCATTGCTTGTACTAACACGAATTACCGCACCAAGTGTACGCTTCTAACGCACGCTGTTTTGCCCTTGGCATGCTGGGGATGGTGGTGGGTAGGCCTGTCTGACAACAAGGCCTCCAAGCTGGTAGCGACAATCAAACATTGTTCGAGGCTATGCCCTTTAGCTTCGAAGGCACTGCTGCCCATTTTGGTGGGCCATCAACTTGATCCATGCTTCATGGCTGGGCAGGCCGCTTTTCAGATGTGGAAGCTTGCGCATCGAAAGATGGGCGGCGCGCTCAGGTGGCTTCAACACACGTGCCGAGGAATGTGGCAGCACACTGTCAATGACTGGCTAACGAGATGCGAGTGGACGTTGCAAGAGCCGGGCAAATGGGTCCACTCGAGCATGCAGCACGTCTTGAAATGGGATGCTCCTAGCGATACACAGGATCGTGATAAGCACATGCTTCGAGAGAGTTGGCGAAGGGCGCTCTTCAGTCAATTCCTCACCAGTGCCAGGCGTGATGCATCACAGCTGTGCAACACCCGTTACTGTGAACAGGTTTGTAAACGCAGTCGAGTGGCTTTTGCAGATGGAGACGCTCATGTACGAGCGGTCCTGGCAGGAGGAGCGTGCAGCGATCAGCACCTTGCTGTTATGAAAAACAGCAGACATAATGCGGTGCAGCCCGTAATGCAGTGCAAGTGCAGCTGGTGTAATCTAGGTTGCATCGGGGATTGGGATCATCAAGTGTGGCATTGTGCGGGTTTTTCTAGATTCTAGAAATCGGCCACCGGTGCCTGACAGCCGCCTTCAGCGTAGGTTTGGGGTGGTTAGTGCAAGGGACTAAGTCCGATCATCAAGTGATCGAGCACGTGGCGGGAGTGAGAGCCCTACTGGCCGACAGCAGGCATACGCTGTTCCATTGCCCGCGCCTTCGTGCCGTGTAGCACGATCCCAGTTAATTCATAATTGGATCGCCTTCATTGTGACAGCGTGACCATGATTGACAGGCTAACCTCTTTCAGACAGGATTTTGGTCACGAAGTTCCTGATCACCGTCGGGACCGTCGTTGGCCGCTACAATATCATATCCGGAAGATGAGTTCAAAGCGGCTGAGAAGGACAAAGAGAAAGAAAAGGAGGAAGAAAAAGCCGAGGAAAAGGTAGAAGCAACAGAAGAAAAGGCCGAGGAGAATCCAGAAGCAACAGAAGAGATGGCCAAGGAAAAGATAGAAGCAGCAGAGGAGAAGGCCAGGGAAAAGACAGAAGCAGCAGAAGAGAAGGCCGAGGAAAAGACAGATGCAGCAGAAGAGAAGGCCGAGGAAAGAACGGAAGAGGACAGGTCAAAGTATTTGTACTTGGACGAAGAGTCGTTGTGGGATACCTTACCCCAAGGCATCGATGAAGCAAGCGTCCAGTTGGATACTCTGCCAGGTAATCTTGAAAAGTTTTACCGGGAGTACGTCGCAATCATGAAGAGGAAAGCTTCGATGCTACCGGACGGTTACGGAAAGAAGTGTACGAATATGCTGAAGGAGATAAGGTCGCATCAAAGTGAATTGCAAGAGTCCCAAGGTCCCAAGACATCTTCAGCGAAGACATGAAGCTGTTCAAGCGAGCAGTTGGAGAGAAAGAGGAAAAGTATAACGTGCTCAAGAATGAGTACGAGCTGAAGATAAAGGCTATGGAAGAGAAGTGTGACCTGGAGCTGGAGAAGATCACGAAGGAGATAGAGCAGGCACGCAAAGATGAAAAAAGATTTGAAAGGTGAAAGAGAAGTTTTGCGACAGTCGCAGGATGTCATCGAAATCCTTGCTGAACTTGTCGAGAATGGGGTGTCATGTATGACGTCGATAACTGAAGATCCCCGGTTAAGCGAGCTGCTCAAAGAGCCAGAGCAGTAAAGCGCAAGCGCATCATGATCGAAAACCTGCTTAAGAAGGCGAGACAGCGAGGAACAATGAGCGATACGGAACAGTCGGTAAGAAGTGAAGAAGGTGAAGGAAAGAAAAGGTTGCAAGTTGCAACGAAGAAGATGCCGAAGCCGATCGCTGAAGCAAAGTTCGCTGTGACGACGAAAGATGATGTGAAAAGAAAGCTTGAAGAGCGGAAAGAGGAAGTGATGAGAGAAGGAAGAAAAAGAAAGGATGAAGATATGGGAAAGATGGAACCGGCGGAGCCGGAAGGACTGCCAAGAAACAAGAGAGAAGATCAAGAATGGCAGAAAGAAGGAGGACCTCGATGCTTTTATTGTAAGAGGTCGGGACATAAGGTCATCGACTGCAGACGCATGTACGACGACGCCCAAGCGATTACCGGATTTATTCCAAGCGAAGATCGCATACGCAAACCAAAACATGCGTTTTGCAAATGTTGTTTCTTGAAGACAACGCAGCTGGATGGATTTTCGCTTACGCAAACGAAGGATCGTTGCTTACGTTGGGGCAGTCACAGCCCAGACTTGTGCTGGCACCAGCAAGTGGTGTCGGATCATCAAAAGGATGAAGAGAAAAAGAGAAAACCGAACCCGAAGTGGGGAGATGAAGAAATGATGAAGAAGAGGTTGAAGCAAGAGATCGTCAATTTGGAGATTGACGATGTTGATGCAGAGCCATCGAGAGGAGCTGGAAGCTCAACGGACAAGCAGCCAACAAAGTCGAAGGATGAAAAGAAGAAAAGCGAAAAAGATGACAAGAAGAAAGCTGAAAAGAAGAAGGACGACCGCAAGAAAGATTACAAAAAGAAAAGCGAGAAGAAGAAAGATGAGAAGAAGGAAGATAAAAAGAAGAAAGACTTACCGCTCCAAGACAGGCCTTTAGTACTTTAGTACTTTTGTTGTGTTTGTACTTTTATTGTGTGGCCACATAATACATATATATATATATATATGTATATAATATATATATATATATATATATATATATATGTGATATGACCGTTCTAAGGCAGGGGAGGGGGGGGCGGGACGGTCACAAAAATACAGATATGTGAAAATCTAAGCTCGAAAGACGTGATTTTGCAAACTTATAGAATATAAACACATAGTTGGCTGTTTCGGTCCAAGCCCATCTTACCCCCCCCATCTTACCCTTATTCGGTCCGGGGCTTGGCTTGTGGAATTTATTATCCTAGGAATCTCCCCAGTGAGCTATCTGCCTAGGTCAACAACATGGCGCCGTGGTCAGCTGCAATCTCAGTGTGCCTAAGTTTCTGACTGACAGTGTTAGTGCCCGCATCATCAGGTCCTTCGTCTCCGCCATCACATTGTCGGCAGCAGCCTGAGAAGTGAAAATTGCACAGGAACCTCGGACAGAGGTTGGAACCTCGAGCAGAGGTTGGAACCTCGAGCAGAGGTTGGTTCTGCTGAAAGGACCTCGGACAGAGGTCGGAACCTCGAACAGAGGGGGCCTCGGACAGAGGTCGGAACCTCGAACAGAGGGGACCTCGGACAGAGGTCGGAACCTCGAACAGAGGTTGGACCCTGCACAGGGGTCGGAACCTCGAACAGAGGTTGACAGGAGCAGCAGGAACTTCGGACAGAGGTCGGACCCCGAACACCGTCAAGGCAAAGAGTGCAGTGCACCGAAGATCGTACTGCGGCTCCTACGGTGTTCCTTGTATAGTCTGCTCTGTTGAGGCTGGGCCTGTTCCTGGCCGATGAGATCACTTTATTCCGTGCGTGCGAGTCCCAGAAAGGCCTGCTTTTCGTCATCAGCGGATGTAATGAGACGTGAGTCAGATTCTCTAAGCGAGTCAAACCCTCCAGCCTGATGCTCTC